ATGAGGACTAATGCGAACCATTTACCTAAATGAGTTGCTATGACAGGAACGTTTGGAATGAACATTGAATTTACTTCATAACAGAAAGATTATATTCTACTGAACCTTTACTATTAACTCCTGAAATACCTGTGACATTAGCTATTTTTGACTCAATGTACAAACAATTGCCATAACATACGTATGGAACAGATTTCATCTCAATCGTTTTGTCAACACTTTTCAAAGGAAATGTCATATGGTATGCTCCCAGAAGCAATTGAACTCTATGACTCATTCGTGTTATCTTAAACTCCTTCGCATAACTGAACTTCAATGTTCCCTCAGAAGAGAGTTCGACATCTATGTTGTCAATAGTTTCTTCATTTATGAGAGTATCTATGACTCCAGCAATTTTATCTATTCTATACCCAGCTCTGTTAGGAAATGTTATAACACTTCTTACACCATCTATTTCAATCTCTATGAAATCTGTTTCATCTGTTATGACAAAAGTTGCGATAGTATTGAAGTCAACAACTCTGAAAGCAAGTGCTTCATTCTGAAGTCCTAAGTTTGTTTGTAGCTTTACTGTCCCGTATTCGTTTGGGTCTGTACTTTGCAAATAGAACAACATTTTATTCTCATTAAAATATGACTATTGCTGCATATGCGTATGAAACAAATGAAGCAAGAAGAGCACATGAACTAGTAAACGAAAACTCAACTTTAACCATTGAAGGCAATGATTTAGTCATTGACGATGGAAAAACTAAAAAAGTCATTGATTTCGATACTTTTAACACGTATGACCCATTCATTACAACAAGTAAAGTTCCTATCATAAATGATGGAACGGTGCAATATATAAATTCAACAGTAGATGCCTCATTAGTGAAAGTAAAATGTTCTCATTGAATTGTTAAAGAGCTTCGATTTGACGACAACATTAAATGCTTAAAGAATTTAGTCATGAATGAGAAACAAATTCTCGGCGTTGCTGGTAGCAGTAATGATGTACACCTTATGACATTAGAATATTATAACGAACATAAAGATGAACTGAAAGGAGAGAAGGGTGACACTGGACCTCAAGGACCACAAGGAATACAAGGTCCTCAAGGCGAAAATGGTTTGGATGGAGAAGATGGAAAGAATGGAAAAACTGCTAAATCATGGATATGGGACCTTATAAATACTGGTTTAACAGCTGCTTCATATGGAGTTCTTCAATACCAAATCGGAAAGATATGGGCAGTACTTGGTGAAGAAGCTTTAGATGACGTTAAAGATGCTTTGAACTTCATTTCAAATGGTTCGGATACTATTAAAACTTTATCTGGTTGGATGCAAGAAACAAGGAGTCAAATAGATACTGTAAGACGTATAGCAAACAATGCACGTACGGGATTGGATACTTTACGAGAAGCACAAAATACACTAAAGGAAGCAAATGATATTCTTGTCTCAGTATCAGACATGCATGAAGATTGGCTTAAAGGTATTGACAAATCTTTAAAAAATCACAGTCAGTCTATTGCTGACTACAAGAAAAGTATAGATTTTTTACATAGTGCTATGGACGTACATGATGGAAGTATAAAGAACTTACTTAATGCTAACAATAACTTACCAGGAACTATTAAAGCATTTATAAAGTCCTTTGTAAAACCTGGTGCTCTAACATTTAGGTCTTTGAGAGCAAGAGCATTGAAGTCAAGAGATGCAGAAACTCCAACAGAACCTACAGAAGGAACTGAAACAACAGAAACTCCAGAAGAACCACCAAAACCAACAGCTAATGAAATATTGTTCGAATATTTTCCAAGGTACTCTGTTCTCATTGCATACATTCAAGAAATACTTAAGAAAGCTTGACTTTAGGAGATGATGAAAGTTCTGTATATCTTTCGTTCCAGTTCCAAATAGCAGAACTTTTGAGACAGATATGCTTAATGTATGACAACATCTCTGATTTCACAAGATATGATGACGACCATGACCCCGAACACGGTGAAGAAGAAGTTTTACAAACATCCATTAAGACAGGAAAGTTTTAACACAAAGTCTCATTATTGACACCGAAGATGGTGAAGTGGATGTTCTTCAAGAGCTGAAGAAAAATACTTCTGAAGGAGGTGGTGGTAGGCATGAACTTGAAATAAATGAGATAGAAGAGAAATTAGCCGAAAAAGCAGACAAAAACCATGTTCATTATATAAGTTCAGATGAACAGATTATAACGGATTATCATGGATAAACAGTGAAGGGAAGATGTTAATGAAAGATATAAATTCATTCGTGCTGAAGGTTATGACATACGTTGTACTGTACAGTATGACACAGGTAAAAGCACCAGAAGCATTTGTTATAACAATGAAATTTATGCTTCATACTTCTTTGTTAACGGTGTATTAGTTGAACCAAGATTTATGTTGAGAGTTAAGGCAAAAATAACTTTTGAAGATGCTATTAAAAGTAAAGCTGACAAAGATGAACTTGACGCAACGAACAAAGTTTTGAAATCTCATAAACATATATCCGATGATTACAAGCTACATTAAATAGTAAAGCTGACAAGAACCATACACATAAATCCTTCACTACTGTTAGAGCAGACGACATAATATTGAACTATACCCTTGGTTCAAGTGCACCTTTAGAGAATCCAAGTACAAGCGTAAAAGATACTCTTAATAGTTTAGATAGTAAATGTATGAACATTGAAGGACATGTCAGAAACTTTGAAACATATGAACTACCAACGCTTTTAGATAAGAAAGCTGACAAAACTTATGTGGATGAAGAACTTGAAAAGAAAGCAAGCAGAGATGAACTTAGTTCGTATACTAGAGCAGAAAATATAGCAATAATTCAGAAAAGTATTGACAAAAAGGCTGACAAAAAACATTGGCATTATACAGTAAAAGGAGGTGGTGCTTGGTTCAGATTATTCTGAATATCTTGAAAGAACAAATGAAACTAAAGTCATTGACGTATAACATATACACGTTTCAACAGAACTAAGACAGGAGTACATTATGGAGTTCATAGAGAAGATATTCGTGAAAGTTTTGAATGGAATGAAGAAATATGGTCAGCAACTGCAGAAATGGGTTTAAATCCGGAGTTTTTCATTCAAATCATTGAAGTTAAAAACTATGAAGATATAATGGAGGACAAAGCTGACAAAACAGAGCTTCAAACATTAAAGACTGAAATACTTCATTATATCCTATAGGCTCTATTTATACGTCAATGAACTCAACAAATCCAGCAAGTGTTTTAGGTTTGGTACTTGGGAATTGTAGACAAATTCTTATACTGTGCTAACTCTTCAAAGCAAACAGGAGGCTCAAAGAAAATTAAAGAAGCAAACTTACCTGCGCACACTCATACAGGAACTACAAACTTTTCTGGCGACCATAGCCACTCATTAAGAGACCACCCATTATACAACTCAGACTATGAAGCTGGCAATGAAGTTTTATCTCCATCTTATAACAATTCAGCAAAAAAGACTTTTCGACCAACTGAACCAGGAGGAAATCATTCACACACTTTCACAACAAATCCAACAGGTTCGGGTGCAGATTATATGCCACCGTATATTACAGTTTATGCATGGGTTAGAACGGACTGAAAGTCCTGAGCTCCAAAAGAGCGAACAGCATGAAATTTACTAAATTTATTTTTACATAAATGAGTTTAAAAGAAGTTTTCGAATCATCACCGTGGAAGTCATTTAAAAAATTCTATGAAGCTGCAAAGAATGCGGGATTTAATGATAGAACAGAAATTAAGAGATTTTATGATGAAAATATAGTTCATCAGGTTAAAGTTAATCCATACGACTACTAACTTCCCATTTATTCTAAAACCCATGATGCATATCAATTTGATACTCTCATTCAAAGCAGAAAAGGAGGACATAAACCATTCCTCATCTTCATAAATGTTAATACACGTAAAGCATATGCATATCCAATGAAAAATAAAGGAACTCGTGAAGTGTTAAGAGTTTTACAAAAGTTTGTAGCAGAACATAACCCAAGTACTTTAACATCAGACCAAGACGGTGCATATCTCAGCAATGAAATCACAGAATTTCTCATTAAGCATAACATAACTCACTACACTACTGAAGACCATAACCATAACATACTCGCATCATAAACCGCTTCATAAGGACTCTCAGAGATTTAAATCAAGAGCGAGACTTTATCGAAGAAACAATGAAACATTTTCTCGAAGTATATAATTCCTCAACACATTCTACAACAGGACATACACCAAATTCAATGACACAACAACAAGAAGAAAAGTATATACAAAAGAAACGAAGTCAAACACAAAATATCAGAAATTCAACACAATTTACTCTCATTCCTGGAACAAAAGTTCGTGTAGTTCTTGACGACAAACCGTTGACAAAGAAACGTTTAAGGTTAAGTCGAAATTATTATATCGTAGACTCTACGCAAGGTAATGGATATCTTATAAAAGCTGCTGACGACTCCATAGCATTTACCTCGACATAAGTTAGTTGAAAGTAGTAATGGCAAACTTGCTGAAACCATTGACGAAGCAAAGCGAGGAGTGGTTATTGAAATACTTGGCTATAACACAAACGATGACACTTATAAAGTAAGATATGAAGGAGGCGTGAAGATGTATACCATCTAAGAACTTGAGAGAGTCAAAGCCAACACATCTGGGACCATTAGAGCGGGAGTATTGGAAAGACAAAAATATGCCAGAAAGAATAAGAAAATTCTTCTAAACTTTTTCATTAGATGTAAATCAGACATGAACGAGAACAGTCATGATATCATTAATGGTACCATTTATTTTAACATAAAGACGCAAAGCGGCGGGGCATAGCCCATGACCAAAAATAATTTTTAGGGTAGATGGGTATTTATACCCTCAATTCTACCCTCGTGAATTTTCATGAATTTCCTTAAGATAGAAAAAATAAAGTTAGTTTTATTTTTATTTATTTATTTTGTATAAAAGATATGATTTCAACAATCGGCACAACAACAATTCAAGCCGCGAACGGCAGGACTCTGTCCACAACAACAGCACCAAACTCGTTAGTCATGAATCCAACATCTATGTTAGTAGAGATGAAAAACTTCATTCCTTCTTCATATAGTTTTGGAACAGAAATACAAAGAATAAAGCAAGAACTTTTAACAAGTAATTTAGACTGTACCGCACAGGATGAAGAATTTTAAGAGAAGGTTTTGTTAAGTTCCGCAATGACATATTGAAAGAATTTGATTTAAACGTTTATGACTACGTTAGTATTTGTTCAATTGCTAACAAATTATTTGAGAACAGAGTGTACTTCCCGAATGGAAATTTATATGACCTCTCAAATAAACCAAGAGAGTTTATTTCGAGATGCATTCAAGGTGGAAGATGTATGTTGTCAGATAACATTAAACAAAAGAGTAAAGAGAAACTCATTGCTGATTTCGACGCTGTTTCATTATATCCATCAGCTATAGCAAGACTTTATACTTTAGAAGGTATTCCAAAGGTTATGAAGAAAGAAATGTTAAGCACAGAGTATCTCATAAGACATTTATTCGATGACGACCAAAAGGAACCCATTGGTGAAAAGTTTATGTCTGGCTTCTTTGTTCTCATTAAGATAAAAGAGATTGGCATACATAGACACTTTCCTTTAATAGTTTGTGACCCTGAACTAAATCCAGAACTTAACGTTCCCAGAAGTTCAAACACTTGCTGTTTAATGTATGTTGACCATATAACATTACAAGACCTCATAAAATATCAAGGTGTCAAATGTGAAGTGTTGCAAGGATACTATTACGATGGAAACAGAGATATTAGAATAAGAGATGAAGTAAAGAAGTTGTTTGAGTTAAGGTTAAAGTATAAGAAAGAAGGAAATCCTTTGCAAGAAAATATAAAGCTCATTCTGAACAGTATTTATGGCAAAACTATTCTATCTCCTATTGAGTCAAAAATAACCATAGTAGATGACAAAGATGCTATAAGATATGCTATAAGAAACTACAACCATATAGTGAAGTTCGAAGGTTTGGATGGTTCGGATAAAACTATTTTCAAGCTAACGAAAAGCATTTGCAGATACTTTAACTTCTGTCCACTTGGTGTTAATATTCTGTCAATGTCGAAGAGAATAATGAACGAAGTATTCTGTACTGCAGAAGATATGGGACTTCAAATATTTTACCAGGACTGTGATAGCATGCATATTTTCAATGAAGACATACCAAAGCTTGCAGCAGAGTTTAAGAAGAGATACGGTAGAGAACTTATTGGTAAAACATTAGGTCAGTTCCATTCTGACTTCGCAGAAATAACACCTGGAAAACAAAGTTTAGCATACAAGTCAATATTTTGTGGAAAGAAGACTTACATAGACTTACTCACTAACGATTTAAATGAAGTTGCATTCCATGCACGTTGCAAAGGTGTCAAACAAGACGTCCTTGCTTTAACAGCAAATGAAATGTTTCCTGAAGCTATACAATGCTATTACAATGAAGATAAGAACATTCACATACCTGTTGGAACATATGACAAAGACTCTGAGTTCAGTTTAATGAAACTTTACAAAGCACTTTATGACGGTCAAGAGATTGGATTTGACTTATGTAAGTCTGCTACACTTGCATTTGAGGAAAAGTTTAACTTTTCTATTCAGACTAAGACTTCATTCATAAGAAAGCTTAAGTTCTGAGAACATGAATGAGAAAAATAATGAGGTCATTTATTTTTGTCAGCAGTGAGGTCATATAAGATTATATTGACGTTTGAATGCACTGTATGAAATTTTTGTAAGTTTTCCTTTTACAGTCCATGCATTTACATACAGAGTTCCACATTTATTGTTTTTCCATTACATGAAGCTCTCTATTGCGAATTCATTAAAGAAATAGAAGAGGTCTTGTTCTGGGTCATAGTATAAATCATCGAACTCATTTTTCCATATGTTTTAACTTCAATGGAGTTTTCACCAATTTTCATCTACATAGTTATAATTTATACCATTTGCTTTTACATCTGTTTTTATTGTTTTGTTGTGATGTTACATATCTTAAATTTTCTATTCTATTGTCTGTTCGTATATGATTTATATGGTTACTTGAGGTAAGTTGTCTGGGTTAAGTATGAATTGTTCTGCTATAAGTTTTGTGCTTGAAGTATTTTTGACCGTTTAAACATAACCTATAATATCCATCGCTCATCCATTCACTCACAATTTTTCCTGTAGATTTTTTTCCTAATATTGTGTGATATTCTGTGTTAATTTCATAGTCGTTGTCAGCAAACAAGTGTTTCCCAAACGTCTTCACCTTCCATGCCTTTCACTCAAATAAAAATTTTCAGAAAAAATAAAACTAGCGTAGATTTTACAATACAGCTATTGTAGAATTTAAGAGTTGAGCTTCAATGTATAAACAATCTTTTCTATCTGGAGGCAAGAACACGGGTGCTTTATGGTCATGAGTTGAGTACATGTCTATCCAAAACTCACGATTGAAACCAGTTAGTTTGTAATAGTGAATTTCTTGTATGACCAATGAACTCATTTTCAACTCCTTTACTTAGGTTTGAATATAATATTGCTTGTTTTCTATCCCAAATACCTGGCAATCTAATTTCGGAAAAATCATTTTTCCTCGGAAGCATTGCATCATAATTGAAAACATTTTTGAAATCATCACTTGGTTCAGAGATTTGAAATCTTATACGTAATGGATTTTCTTTCTTTTTAGCTACTTCATTGAATGGTGAATATATAACAAACTGACAGTCATGAGTTCCATCTTCATTTTCATTAAATTCATAATGAAAGTCTATAAGTTGTGGCTGACTACCTTCTTCTTTCAGTTGTGCAAGAAACTCACGTAAAGGCTGTAAAGTTTGTACTTCAATGTTAAACTTTTTCTCGAACATTTCATTAAATGAAATCATACATTGTTGCAATGTTGTATCGTCTTTAAAGTATTTGTATATGTGAATGTTTTGGGCGCTTAAAGACTGTTCGTCATTTTCTATCTCGACTTGAAGTATAAAGTCAACCTTTCTGAAAGCACGTGTTATATACATATTTGTTATGCCAATGTACTTCTCTTCATTTATGTTCACAATCCAGTCTGTTGGAAACTTAAACGTTACTCTGTTCCCCTTTATTTTGACGTCAGGGTTTTCACTACTGAACGCAACAGATAAAGGTATTTGTCTATACATTTAATTCGGATAAAAATAAACCATTTACTCTTTCTTTGCTTCAGCTTCTTTAGCTTTTGCTTCAGCTTCTTCTCTAGCTTTCTTCGCCAGCAAACGTGGGTTCTTCTGTCTTCCAGCAGCTAATGCAGCAAGTTGTTTTTCACTAAGTTTTCTCTTTGGTCTCTCTGGCTTTTGTTCTTGTTTTTGTTCCTTCAGTTCGGATAAAATTTGCTCACGAATTTCTTTCTTCAATGCTTCAACATCTATGACCCCTTGGGTCTTGTCCGTAGGGCTTGTCTGAGTCATTTGACTGCAGATAAAAAACTAAATTAAACTTTAACCAATGTAAAATGAGCTTGTCAAAATCAGAGCGAGAGTCTATTATATTAAATGACGCAAGAGGAATACAACATCCTTTCTATTATGTAAGTCAGAGTAAAGATGGTAAAATATACGTAAGAAAAAGAAAGGTTCCATTAGCGAATGCAGAGAGCGACAACATTAAGGTGCATGGCACCGAGGGCGAAGCCCATATAAAACCTTCTGTTCAAACTGAGCAAAAAGAACAGAAGAAAAGAAGCCAGATGTACTTTCAATAACGAACCAAGAGCTTATTGCAAAGTTCGTGAATTTCATTGAAAAACAAACCGAGTCAAAGAACCTGACCCGCCAGTGAAAGAAGTTGAGACAAAAGAGAATGTACAGTTCATTGAAAATGTCAAGAAACAACTTCCACCACGAATGCCAAGAAGAAGAGTGAGAATAATGAAGTAAATAGATATTTTTATCTGAAGTAAATACATGCAGAACGAACAGCTAAACGAATTTACTCCAGCAGAGCATATTCATCAGATTCGCTCATATTTCGATATCATAGACAATGCAGTTCAAATTGGTGACACTAATAGAAAATATTCTGATGCAAAGATTCCATCACAACCTGGAACTGCTAAAGATAACACATGGGTAACATTCAATCTCTCACCTCCTGGTGAAAATATGTTGGACCTTTACAATACATTCATTACGTATAAAATGGAAGGTCAATTTATTGTAGATAAAGAAATTGGTTCAGGTTCCAATAAAACAAACCCACCAGGATTTTGGATTGGTTTCGATGACGCTTTCTATGCAGTTGCTGGATATCAAATCCTTGCAAATGGTCGTATCGTATATTCTCAAGACAACGCAAGAGAAGAAGCATATATAACTTCAAACTCACAAACTACCGAACAAATAAAGAAAGTAGATGTTTTCTCAAAGACTCGACATGAAGATGTATGGAGTCATTCGGGAACATGCAGAACAGGACAAATTGTTAGTGGTCCAATTACAGCAGGAAAATCATTTGATTTTAAGCTTCGTTTAAGAATTCCTGTTAGAAGATTCCTTCCATTAGAAGCTATTCGATTTATTCCAGCTTTTGCAGGAAACATTCAGCTTAAAGTAAAGTTCAGTAGCGACGCCTTACAATGCACATCTATATCTGTAAATGATATCATTGCTTTCAATCCAACTCTTAAAGTTGCATTTGCTCCAGATTCAAATCCACCGACAAATAAATTTGTTCCATGGAATGAACCATTCACTATGATAACGAAGGCAGTAGAAGCTAGTGGAACAGTTACTATTACAACTGTAACCCAGCAACTATTTCGAACAAAGATGGATTTTAATGAATGTTTTATTCATCCAAAGTCATTCTCTTTAGACCCTAACATTTATACAGAACTTGTAGAACATTATACAAACGAGGCTTTATGTTTTCCTGTTAAAGTTATGGATTGGATTCCTATGGACGGTTCATTCTCAAAGAATACAGATAGTTCAAGTGCAACATTTACAGCAGCTTATACGCCTATTAATGTTAAAAGTATTTGGGCACTATTTAGAAAGAAAGACAACTATTATGTTAATTTTGAGAACCCTAAGTTTAAATATCTTCAGCTTTCCATGGGAGCTTATGGAAATATGCCTGCAGAACCTGAAAAATCATATGGACCTGTATTTTATGAAATGGTTGCGAACGCTTGCAATACAAACAATGATATGATAGGATTTAATGAAGATGTTATGAGGTCATTGGTGGATGATGGTAGTGTGGAACATAAATGGGATAGCTATGACAACACACATTTCTTATGTGGTTTTCCAACAGAAGTGGACTTTTGCTTCATGCAGGGTCAAACATCTACTGCTCCAATAACATACAAATTGTCTGTTAAAGGACATATTGAACTAGCAACTGAAAATGTACCAAAGCCACTTATTGGATTTATGAGGGATTGTTGCTTTGCCATTCAGGTGCGTGCTAATGGAATCCCAATAATAAGATTAGATGACTATAACTTAGCTGCGGACGACAGTGAGGAATAAAGGATGAACGTTTATTTTTAAAGCTTATAAATGAGTTCTTCATCAATCTCTCGTGACCCTTCACCATCTGTGAAACAAACTTTACCAAACGATTATGGAGCACCTATTGAATATTTCTTACAAGCTGCACAATGGCAAAGAGCAGTCTCACCAAGGTTAGGTGTTCCACCAGCTCCTGTCAAAAATAGCATTTGGTCAAGTCCTTATATAAAATATGGTCTCCCACTAGGTTTGCTAGCTACAGCAGGAGCAGTTATGATGTTGAAAAGAAATAAAGCAAATGTTGTAAATAATACTGAAGTAGCTGAAGTTAAACAAACTCCGACACCTTCGCCAAAACCAACATCAAAACCAACACCTTCACAAACAACACCTTCAATGACTCCTGAACCTATGAAAGTACAAACTCCTGTTCAAAAGTCAACTCCAAAACCGACTCCAACATTTAAACCAGAACCTACTCCTCAAATAAATCGTAAAACTCCTGCGTTTCCTTACTGAAAAAATAACGTTATTTTTATTTAATATTAAAATTTTTATTTGATTGAAATGACAAATAAAGTCACTGAAGCAATGAAACAAAAGTTTTTGGTAGAATACATTAAATCAGGAGCGGTTCCAGAAGGTTTTTACATTCATACTATGAAGGATGATAGAGTTCAGTTTAGAAAGATAAAGCAACCATTAGATAAAGAAGGAATTTTGAGAAAGATTAAACTTCATGAAGACAACATTGCTGAACTTAAGAAAAAGCTAGAAGAGTTGGAGAAAGGAAGAGAGTTGTAAAGCAATGAATTCAACAGGGTAGAAATGAGGTTAGAAATCGGGTTAGATATACCCATCTACCCTAAATTTATTTTTGTGCTATGTTTTCATACGTGTGAGGGTGGTGATATCATTTATTTTTTATTTTATTTTTATATAAATGACGAAAACTATTGAGATAACAAACTACAACGGTCATGAGTTCAAGAACTTGTTCTTCGTTCCTCGTGAAAATACATTCTATCAGATACGAGGGAGAAAGGGTAAAGTTAGTTTGAGCGTTTACGACAACAAACATAATGGGAGATATATAAAAGCAATAGATACAGACGGTAAGCGTGTTTCATTAGCTTTGTCAAAACTTACTAACATTTATTTTGACAGTGACTTTGACTCTGACGATTGGAGTGACAGCAGCGATAGTGAAGAATATGAACTGTTGTGTGAAGCAAAGCAATGGGAAGAGTTGCAATACTTTTGTAAATGAGAACGTTTATCTTTTACAGTAGTAAAGTCGTTAGTGAAAACGTTAGTGAGGTGAAGTGGTTGGTGGCTTTGTAAATATTTAAGGTTAAGTTAGTTTTTGCGTTCGTGTTGTAAAATATACGTTAGCGGTTTTGTAAAGTATCAAATTCACAAGTATTGGGTAAGGTGGAACGCAGTGCCTCCGTACCCAAGATATGTATACTAACTAAAAATACTAAATTCTAAAAAAATTCAATTTATTCAAAACGTATACTAAGTGATCACTTCATTAGTAGGATCAGCAATCCTACTAAATGGTGAGAACGCCACTAACTAAAAAGGGAGTCCTTGGAGCTCTTGATCTCTTGTCAGTAGAGTTCATAATGAGGCATGGCATCTACTGATTAGAAATCAGAGCAATCCTACCTTACCTTCAGGAGCTACAAAGCTCCTAATCGTTACAAGAGGGAGCCTTGGAGCTCCTGAAGCTCATCAGCAGAGGCTATTTACCATTTGGGCCTCTTCTGATGAAAGATGCGAAACACGTCTACGAACCAGGAGCTTCAAAGCTTCTAATCCTTACTAAAGGGAGCTTTGGAGCTCCTGAGTCACCATCAACAGAGTCCCAGATGGTAAATGTCCTTTGCTGATGAAAGATGCGAAACACATCTACGAACCAGGAGCTCCAAAGCTTCTAATCCTTACGAAAGGGAGCTTTGGAGCTCCTGAAACTCCTTTTACTATAAAATAGGACAGTTTTCTTCTGAGGTTCTCATCAAATCTAAGACTTCAGAAGAAAGCTGTCCTATCAATGTATACTTACACTCTCATGGACTACAAGTGTACAATTTTAAGGCAGAGATTATCCGAGGCCTCTCATCAAATGAGGGACCTCGGATAATCTCTACCTTAAGTAGTCAAATAACTTTTCTCACTATTTAGGAACAAAAGAACAAGAGTTGGAGTACTTTAAGGCAAGATTCTTCCGAAATCTCTCATCGAATGAGAGACTTCGGAAGGACCTTGCCAAATCCTTGAACGCCAATATCCTTGGAACTGAGCTAGAACTAGGGAGAAGTAGCATACTATAGAGCACGATGGTAATCTCGGAAATGCTTATATCGCCCCAAGCACAATATTTAAGAAGTCTAACTCATATATACAAGAAGTCAGGCTGAATAGATATTGTGCATATGGTTTGCAGAACTCTCATGATATTTAAAATTCATGTTATCCCAAAAAGGTGACACTTTGGGTGTATCGTCCATCCCAGGGATGCAAAAATCACATCACCTTGGATCTATATTTTAAATTTTTTGATTTTTTCGAAAATTTTTCGGAAAAAAAATATTTTCAGAAGAGCCTTAACGGCTAAGTTTTATGTTTAATGTTGAGTATCAAAAAGAATGGGTATCTGATATAGCCATCATATATCCCAGAAGCAAATAAAAATTCTGACTTTTTAAGCATAAAAAATGAAATTTTATTTTTTGCAAAAAACAGGCCACCCGGATGTACGTTTATTTGAGAGGAGGAGGATTAAATTTTTGAAAGCACTAAAATTTGTAAATATGCTAGTTATATAATAATATGCATTATTTTAAAAAATAAAAATTAAAGCACGTTAAAATCTTTTTTGATGAATTTTTACAAAAGCTACTCAGGATAATGCAAGATATGAGTAGTTAAACATAAATTTCAAATCAGATTTTACTTATAATAAATATTTTAAATTTCCGAAAATTAAGTTCAGATCGACTCTATACGTAGTAAATACTAAATAAGGTGCCAAAAACCTATTAAACAGTATCAAAACTATCAAGATTGTAATGTTTTTGAAGAAAAATTTATAGAATTATGGACTTCAAACAGATATTATGTAAATAAAAATAATATAATGAATTTATTTATTCGTATAATAGCAGTAATAAGTCGATTATTCACTTCTACTTCTGAGATTTGAATTTAATTTCGACAGAAAAAGAGATTCAAGAGGAAAATACTAGGGGATACAAACAGCCACCATGACAGGATTATTATGGAGCCAAGTTGTATTTTTTGATATTTTTAGAGTTTTCCTACCTATTTAGGTACCAAGTTATTGCTTAAAATTAAGGTTCTAAATTCTGAAGTTTACATGATCCTCCCGGGCGCACCCTTAAAATTTTTTACTTTTATTTTAAAAAATAATTTCACTATTTATAACAGTTATCACTAAATCTAATATCAGTTGACACAGGACTTTCATAATGAATACCGCGAGAATTTCGAGATTGATCTAATAATATGTTTGTTGTCATATTTAATGAGACTTTATTTAAACAAGCTTGACATTGCCGTTTTTAGAAATATGACCAATGATACTGACATCGTCGTCATCATCGTGGTATGAAACAAAATCATCGGAAACACCGTTGTCATCAATGACATCGCCATAAAGTTCAAATCGGTTAAGAGCAATGCATGGAGGATCACCGGGACATGCTTCGTTCTGGATGACTTCAACATATTTAGCACTGTATGTTTTATCGAGTTTGTATGTCTTCTCGTTGCATCGACGCATATCTTCGTCTTTCATTCGATGAACTTCTGTCCACGTTTTATTATCATCTGATATTCGCAATGACCATGAATATAGGCAACAGTAGAAACAGCCATAATTATCTTCTTCACAACAGCATCCATCATAGCAACAACCACAGCGGATGAAATAACTATTGAATCTAAACCTTTTATTTTTCAAAGAAAAACGAATATAGGGATGTTCATCATAGCTTCTCATACAATTAGAACACCAGTCATATTGTTTGTTCCATGGGTATATAGCGTATTCCGGTTTTGTCATTTGCATTGAACCATTACTATCTTGCTTAGAAGAACCACTAATATCAATAAGAATTATTTTATCATTATACACTTTTTCGAATATCCCAATTTCACTGTATGCCGTAATAAACAGCGAGAAAATCATTTTAAAAAGTGACATTACACTTATCATAAACAGAACTTAACTTTACACGTCTTTTATCTAACAAATAATTATTTTTTCCTTCTAACAGTGAAGAACATTTGAAATAAAAATAACTCATAGCGAAATTTTACTGCCTTAAATACATAAAAGAATAATTCGAAAATTTGACAGTTATTGAAAAGTATCATGCAATTGAATTGAGAATAATCATTATCGAGATATGATTTTGTTGCATCAAATGATTAGAATCAAACATGATCATTCTTATTTATAAGTAAAATTTTAAGAATTAGTTATAGAATGAGTAGAAATCATAAATAAATATTGATATGTTTTTGAGCTAGAACATTTGCAAGTTATAGTCTCTTTTCTTATATTAGTTTCAATGATTTTTGTTGTCAAAAAGTCAACTTTTATCATCCCAAAGGATTTATCAACAGATTCGCTCCCTGATGCACTATGTTCTTCTTCGATTTTAAACATTCTGAAAGTGCTTTCATTCACATTATATTTAACCCATTTTCCTCGATTTTCTAATGGAGTATTTGAATTGATATATGTTATCTCTTCCCAATCAATTCCATTATTGCTTCCTTTCAGGTAATGATTTCTTAGTGCATTGCAGTCAATGGGTGTGTATATTTTATAACCTGTAATTGTCAATAGTTTCATAGGAAAATCAAATATTAGCCAGCCATACTCATTCGCTTTCGAATGCCACATACAATCAGAATTTTTCTCAATTAAACAATATGGAGAGCTTATTCTCAATCCGTCACATGCTTGAACTGCACTTTCCCATTTAGGGGTTGATGTCAAATTAACAATTGTTTTTAGGTATTCACTTGTATATATATTTTGATATGATTCAAATATATAACTCATATATGATTAGAACATTATTTAAAGAATAACACTAAGAGGTTTTATTTTTATATATCAAATCTCAAAATTCTGAATTGACATTTTAGGATTCAACACCAAAATATTCAAGAAAATCAACTATTAACCGATAATTCTTGATACACTCTCATGAATAAATTGGCAATAACAATCCTCAAAAACTGACTCAAAAATGTTTTTTATTTCAAATCTAATTGTCACTTTTTAAGTCATACTTTAGTTATCATTGATATTGTTGTAAACGAAAACGATAAAAACGGTTTGACAGAAAAAGTGACACTTTACATGGCAAAAAATAGAGCCTTACTTTTGAGATACTTGAGATTGAAACTGAATCTTATGAGGCGGTGATCTTGAATCACTACCTCATAAGGTTCAGTTTCATATAAAATTTGTTGCAATTTGTTATTCTTTTGCAATTATTTCTTATAAGATTTTACATCTTTTAGCGGGGAATGTTTGTTATCATGTATATATTATAAATATCTACACGATAACGAACATTCCTCGCTAAATTGCTGAGAAACTTGGAGGAAATGTCGAACAATTTCCTCAAAGTTTCTCAGATTTATATAGATCACTAGAGTCCCCTAGGCACTGATTCTGGTTCAGTACCTAGGAGGCTCTAGTTCTCTAACGAACTGATAAAATGTTTTTAAATTTTTGGATATTGCTACCTGTGAAGCACTGACTTCAAGTCAGTACCTCACAGGTAGCAATTACATTGAAAGATGGGAGAAACTTCGTCCGAATGTTAAACTATTCGGACAAAGTTTCTCCCATTTGTAGTGGAGATGGAAGGCTTTGAGGTATATTGTATTAATATATACCCAATGCCTTCCATCTCCACTACAAATGGGAGAAACTTTGGGTTAATAGTTTGCAATTAACCCAAAGTTTGGACACTTTCTAGAAGGAATTGGAGGGTAAGAGATATACATTCATATGGTATATCTCTTACCCTCCAATTCCTTCTTAAAATGGGAGAAACTTTGTCCGAATGTTAAACTATTCGGACAAAGTTTCTCCCATTTTTTGAAGGAATTGGAGGCTATGAGATACTGATGCAATGTCAGTAACTCATGGCTTCCAATTCCTTCCTAAAACTCATAAAAGTGGACATTACATGCATATAAAATTTGACATGTAAAGTCCACTTTTTGTGAGCGGGGATTTGACTCCGTCAAATCCCTTTTTCGTTAACGAGAATTGTCAATTCGGATTGTGAGCTCCCAAACTATTGATATGCTCCGACGCTCTACCTGTGACGCAAACCATATTCGCCAATTTTTCCTCTCCAAGCATAGATACTTTGCCCGCAGGAAGAAGTTTATTGCGAATATGGACGAGACAATGCTCTATTCCAAACGTCGCTATAAAGTTCTTACTGCTGGCCGGAATCGCCCAGTTCGCGCTGAAAAGTCTCAGCTTCCACATCTTACAGGGGTCTGTACCATCTTTGCAGATGGTACAACTATGAAGCCAATGGTGATACTTCCACAAAAGAAGACCCTTGATGCGGAATTGGAAGATCTGGACGCTTTTTTTGTTCGCTCCGAGAGTGGATGGATGAACAAATACCTTTTTATGGTATACTGTATCATGTTCATCTGCAAAGTACAGGAGAAAAGGTCTCAAATGAATGTGTTTGATGCCCAGGTACCTTTTCTCCTAATTATAGATGGTTATCCATCCAGGCTCTCTTTCTTGGCCGTTCGCCTCTTGAGCGCCTTCAATATCGAGCTTCTTGTTCTCCCAGGCCATACATCTCATATCTTACAACCTCTTGATGTTGGGATTTTTTCTCCCTTGAAGGTCCAATTCAAGAAGTTGTTTGATATGGCGACTATCCGGTACGATCAGCAAGGGCATATGGTGATCAATTATGTATGGAACGCCAGAGAACTGCGCTATATCATGGTTCGCAGCTTCCTTGATGCATGTAGTGTGTCTTGCACAGCTACAAACATCGAAAATGCTTTTAAAGCAACAGGAATCTATCCATTGGATATGAACAAACCTCTTGCTTCCAGATACATTGTAGCAAATGGAGTTCCTCCTGCAAGGCCCAATTTTGTCAACGACAAAGTCCTTACAGATCCAAATGTGATGATGCAAGTCTTCCAAATGGAATATGGACGCCCCATGCAGCAACAGGATTGGTATTTCAATCTGTTTGTGGCTATGCAATCTGTTTTGGCCTGGAATGGAGCATATGGCCAGGTTCTTAGTCGTGAGTTACATCTCCTTTATCCTACTGCAGGTGGATTTCAAAAAATCCAATTAAAATGATATAAAGCTGAGGAGCTCCAGGGTGAAGAGGAATTGATGAAGAAAAGAAGCAACTGCATAATGGAGTGAGGAAGTACTTTGAAGAAGAGAGAAAGCATCTGGATGAAGAGAGGAAGCACCTTGATCAAGAGAGGAAGTACTTTGTTGAAGAGAGGAAGCTGCATGATCAAGAGAGGAAGCACCTTGATCAAGAGAGGAAGTACTTTGAAGAAGAGAGGAAGCACTTTGTTGAAGAGAGGAAGCACCTTGATCAAGAGAGGAAGTACTTTGAAGAAGAGAGGAAGCACTTTGTTGAAGAGAGGAAGCACCTTGATCAAGAGAGGAAGTACTTTGAAGAAGAGAGGAAGCATCTTGATGAAGAGAGGAAGCACCTTGATCAAGAGAGGAAGTACTTTGTTGAAGAGAGGAAGCTGCATGATCAAGAGAGGAAGCACCTTGATCAAGAGAGGAAGTACTTTGAAGAAGAGAGGAAGCACTTTGTTGAAGAGAGGAAGCACCTTGATCAAGAGAGGAAGTACTTTGAAGAAGAGAGGAAGCACTTTGTTGAAGAGAGGAAGCACCTTGATCAAGAGAGGAAGTACTTTGAAGAAGAGAGGAAGCACTTTGTTGAAGAGAGGAAGCACCTTGATCAAGAGAGGAAGTACTTTGAAGAAGAGAGGAAGCATCTTGATGAAGAGAGGAAGCACCTTGATCAAGAGAGGAAGCACCTTGATCAAGAGAGGAAGTACTTTGAAGAAGAGAGGAAGCATCTTGATGAAGAGAGGAAGCACCTTGATCAAGAGAGGAAGTACTTTGTTGAAGAGAGGAAGCTGCATGATCAAGAGAGGAAGCACCTTGATCAAGAGAGGAAGTACTTTGAAGAAGAGAGGAAGCACTTTGTTGAAGAGAGGAAGCACCTTGATCAAGAGAGGAAGTACTTTGAAGAAGAGAGGAAGCATCTTGATGAAGAGAGGAAGCACCTTGATCAAGAGAGGAAGTACTTTGAAGAAGAGAGGAAGCACTTTGTTGAAGAGAGGAAGCACCTTGATCAAGAGAGGAAGTACTTTGAAGAAGAGAGGAAGCACTTTGTTGAAGAGAGGAAGCACCTTGATCAAGAGAGGAAGTACTTTGAAGAAGAGAGGAAGCATCTTGATGAAGAGAGGAAGCACCTTGATCAAGAGAGGAAGTACTTTGTTGAAGAGAGGAAGCTGCATGATCAAGAGAGGAAGCACCTTGATCAAGAGAGGAAGTACTTTGAAGAAGAGAGGAAGCACTTTGTTGAAGAGAGGAAGCACCTTGATCAAGAGAGGAAGTACTTTGAAGAAGAGAGGAAGCATCTTGATGAAGAGAGGAAGCACCTTGATCAAGAGAGGAAGTACTTTGAAGAAGAGAGGAAGCACTTTGTTGAAGAGAGGAAGCACCTTGATCAAGAGAGGAAGTACTTTGAAGAAGAGAGGAAGCATCTTGATGAAGAGAGGAAGCACCTTGATCAAGAGAGGAAGCACCTTGATCAAGAGAGGAAGTACTTTGAAGAAGAGAGGAAGCATCTTGATGAAGAGAGGAAGCACCTTGATCAAGAGAGGAAGTACTTTGAAGAAGAGAGGAAGCACTTTGTTGAAGAGAGGAAGCTGCATGATCAAGAGAGGAAGCATCTTGATCAAGAGAGGAAGCTGCATGATGGAGTGAGGAAGCATCTTGATCAAGAGAGGAAGTACTTTGAAGAAGAGAGGAAGCACTTTGTTGAAGAGAGGAAGCATCTTGATGAAGAGAGGAAGCATCTTGATGAAGAGAGGAAGCATCTTGATCAAGAGAGGAAGCACCTTAATGAAGAGAGAAGCTGCATGATGGACGCATGATGAAGTGAGGAAGCATCTTGATGAAGAGAGGAAGCGTAAGAACCGATAACATTTACAAAATATTAAATTTATTTTGTAAATTTTCCAAAAGCCTTAGTACCAATGTAATATAAATGCTCCAAAAATATCATCCCTCCTTCCAAAAGCGTAAGAACCGATAACATTTACAAAATATTAAATTTATTTTGTAAATTTTCCAAAAGCCTTAGTACCAATGTAATATAAATGCTCCAAAAATACCATCCCTGTTGTAAACAGAAATTCATCAAAAGTGACAGCTCTCAATTTTTTGACATTTGTAAATTCTAAATTGAATGAGAAAAATGAAATAATACTAAGCATAATACAATATTCTAGATTTAATTATAATTAGGAAAAAGTTAGTTTTGAGAGTACTTTTCATAGGCATATAGAATGAAATCTTCTGAAAAATAATATCACATAAACTCATATTATTTTCTAATATATAACTATTTTATATAAAAATCAAATTCAATGATCTTAAAAGCGAAGGATAAACCTCAAAATTTACGAATATAATGAGTGGGAATATAATGCTTATCTATCATAAAACCATATGAAATATCAATTTTTGCTTTACGCCTAATTTTTGACGACAATTAGCAAAAAATGTTAAATGTTAACACTCAGTCCATTTGAATATGAAAAATAAAATTGACTTTGATTAAATGTTTTTATTTATCATGCAATTCTTCTTGCGACCAAAGATTTGAATAAAATTTCAAAAAATAAGATAGCTTAAAAAATAATATACGGTAGTGTTTACTAATAGATGAATAGTATATAAATTCTATTAAAATGGATTTGATCCAAAAAAATATATAAAATTTGATCATAAATAAAATTGTTTAGTAGTCATTTAAAATGATGTAATTATTCAAATTTTGCTAAGACCCATTCGTCTTTGATATATAACTCCCATTTTTGCATTTCTGGCTCGTACCAAAATTTTGAAAACTTCGAATAATTCGTTAGGAGTGTAATTACTATTCGTTTTTGGATTAATATCGAGAGATAAATGTGGTGTATTGTTGTATTTTTCAATGAACTGCTGAACTGAGTCCTTGATTTGTTGAATATCATCCAACTCGTCTGGCAAAAACTTTTCTAAGCTTGGCCACAGGCGCTCCACCTTGCCGTTCTGTCTTGGCATATACGGCAAGGTGTGCTTCCAAACTATTCCGTTTTCCTGCATAACCTGGCCGAATTCACTGCGGTTTTCACCGCCGTTATCGGTCCAGATGCAGTAAGGAATAAACTCCTCTAAAAGTTTTCTTAAAACCTTCGCTGTTGAGTTGGAGACTTGTTTTTCAATAATTTAGTTTTGAGAACTTTACGTGTCATATCATCCAATATGGCAAAAAATGGAAAAGAAACATTACCGTGAGATAGATTACCTATCATGTGTACGGCGGCACTGCGCGCCTCCTTACCCATTATATGTGAATTTGACACTTTACAAAACCGTTAACGTATATTTTACAACATGAACGCAAAAACTAACTTAACCTTAAATATTTACAAAACCACCAACCATTTCACCTCACTAACGAACTCACTAATGAAAAAATAAACGTTCTCATAAATTTTCTTCTATATCTTCATCGTCAATGTTAACTCTATTGTAGTCATACTTGAAGTCATAAAGTTTCTCAAGTTTTGAAATGCATAGTCTTGTTAACTTACCTTCATCATAAGTTTTTATAAAACTACCATGACAATCTTTATAAACAGTCAGTGTATAGTCAACTGGTCTAGAATGAAGTGTAAAGAACATGTTATACTCAGGAAGGAAGAATAAATGTTTAAATGTATGTTTGTTATATTTTTCGATTTGTATGAGTTGCTTTTGTTCTGTCATTTATATAAAAATAAAATAATGTTATATACGAAAACGATAAAAACAGTTTGACAGAAAAGTGACAACTTTACGTGTCAAAAATATAAAAAGTGATATTTTATTCATCATTATCTTCTTCATAATTTATTTCATATTCTTCGTCTTACCAACAAAAGATGGAATGTGAACAATTGCGGGCAATTTTTAGCCAATTTTGGCTTGGAACTAGAGCCTGCGAGGTACATGGATAGTATCAGTACCTCACAGGCTCTAGTTCTATATGGCGCCGAGAAATTTTGGTGAAATGTGGTCGCATTTCACCAAAATTTTTTCGGCGCCATAGGAGAATTGGAGGGTGAGAGATATTATTTCATACAATACTACTCTCACCCTCCAATTCCAGCCAAAATGGCTAAAAATTGCCCGCAATGTGAACAATTGCGGGCAATTTTTAGCCATTTTGGCTTGGAACTAGAGCCTGCGAGGTACATGGATAGTATCAGTACCTCACAGGCTCTAGTTCTCTATATGGCGCCGAGAAATTTTTGGTGAAAATGTGGTCGCATTTCACCAAAATTTTTTCGGCGCCATAGGATGAATTGGAGGGTGAGAGATATTATTTCATACAATACTACTCTCACCCTCCAATTCCCAGCCAAAATGGCTAAAATTGCCCGCAATGTGAACAATTTGCGGGCAATTTTTAGCCATTTTGGCTTGGAACTAGAGCCTGCGAGGTACATGGATAGTATCAGTACCTCACAGGCTCTAGTTCCTCTATATGGGCGCCGAGAAATTTTGGTGAAATGTGGTCGCATTTCACCAAAATTTTTCGGCGCCATAGGATGAATTGGAGGGTGAAGAGATATTATTTCATACAATACTATCTCACCCTCCAATTCCCAGCCAAAATGGCTAAAAATTGCCCGCAATGTGAACAATTGCGGGCAATTTTTAGCCATTTGGCTTGGAACTAGAGCCTGCGAGGTACATGGATAGTATCAGTACCTCACAGGCTCTAGTTCTCTATATGGCGCCGAGAAATTTTGGTGAAATGTGGTCGCATTTCACCAAAATTTTTCGGCGCCATAGGATGAATTGGAGGGTGAGAGATATTATTTCATACAATACTACTCTCACCCTCCAATTCCCAGCCAAAATGGCTAAAAATTGCCCGCAATGTGAACAATTGCGGGCAATTTTTAGCCATTTGGCTTGGAACTAGAGCCTGCGAGGTACATGGATAGTATCAGTACCTCACAGGCTCTAGTTCTCTATATGGCGCCGAGAAATTTTGGTGAAATGTGGTCGCATTTCACCAAAATTTTTTTGGCGCCATAGGATGAATTGGAGGTGAGAGATATTATTTCATACAATACTACTCTCACCCTCCAATTCCCAGCCAAAATGGCTAAAAATGCCCGCAATGTGAACAATTGCGGGCAATTTTTTAGCCATTTTGGCTTGGAACTAGAGCCTGCGAGGTACATGGATAGTATCAGTACCTCACAGGCTCTAGTTCTCTATATGGCGCCGAGAAATTTTGGTGAAATGTGGTCGCATTTCACCAAAATTTTTTCGGCGCCATAGGATGAATTGGAGGTGAGAGATATTATTTCATACAATACTACTCTCACCCTCCAATTCCCAGCCAAAATGGCTAAAAATTGCCGCAATGTGAACAATTGCGGGCAATTTTTAGCCATTTTGGCTTGGAACTAGAGCCTGCGAGGTACATGGATAGTATCAGTACCTCACAGGTTCTCTAGTTCTCTATATGGCGCCGAGAAATTTTGGTGAAATGTGGTCGCATTTCACCAAAATTTTTTCGGCGCCATAGGATGAATTGGAGGGTGAGAGATATTATTTCATACAATACTACTCTCACCCTCAATTTTAATTACTTAAACTCATTCTATTTTTTTGACATGTAAATGTCACTTTTACTGAGATCTGACACAATGTCAGATCTCTTTTTTTCGTATATAAGAATAAAAAATAATTTTAAAAAATAAACTTAAAAATAAATGATATCACCACCCTCACACGTATGAAAAGCATAGCACAAAAATAAATTTAGGGTAGAAGGTTAGATCTAACCCGATTTCTAACCTCATTTCTACCCTGTTGAATTCATTGCTTTATAACTCTCTTCCTTGGTTTCTTTTTAGTTGCTTTCACGTCTGTCTCCAACTTGACTGTCTTTCTTCTTCGTCCGTAATGATACCAATTACTTCCACCAGTCAATGGGTCAAATGGTCTTTCGTAAGGGTTTCCATACATTCCATAGGGACCATACGGAAGAACTACTGGTGGAAGTTGTGGAGAAGAAACATTTTCTTTAGTTCCATCGACTCTATTTAAATGCATTGTTTCACCTTTCATCTGGTCATTAAAGTCTTTTGCGTGTTTTGCAAACTCATCGTCCTTTCCTAAGGCATTTTCTGACTCGGTCGCAACCAAATTGGATGCTTTATTTATGAGCCCTATTTTATTTAATCTTAACTTCTTTGCAACCCAGCCTCCAATCTTTCCTTTATTTGCATCTAATGTCTTTGAAACCCTTCCTCCACTCATTTTATTTACTGCGTCATAAGCTCCAAGTGCTTTTGCTCCAAATGCTAATGCTTTTGTTCCCATTGCGCCTAAAGCTGCCCAAGCTACCATTTACACCATATTAAAATCATCTCTCTTCAATATTATCTCATAAAAGTTCTCGTTACTGGAGAAAGTCAATGAAACATAAATGTTCTCACGGGCTTCGCCCTCACCGCTTTGCGGTCTATCTAACTTCTTTCTTATATCATCTATACGCTTCAAAATGTCTGAACAATTGCTAACATCTTCTACAACAGTTATTTCATCATGAATGACCTTCAAGAACAAGCTCATTTAATATGCTATTAAAATCATCTCAATAATGAGTCCATCCTTTCCATCTTTAGGTAGCACAACATCTTTCATTGAAGAAGGTTCGACAAGTCTTATGTTAAACTTACTGACAAAGTTTGTTATACTATAATGCTTCGGCGGCGAATACATGTAGTTTGAAAGACATAATATAGATTCTTCAGCAAATTCACTTATACTGGATTTTATAACAATGTTCTCACGAGACCAAATACCACCAATTGACAATCTTGTAAGCAATCCTGCTGAACCTTCTACTGTAAACGTCGATGGTAACATTCCACGAAGGTCATCTATTGACATCTTTGAGTCACTGAATTTAAATATTTTCTTAAAGCAATCGTCATTATATAACCATGCAATAGCTTTGAAGTTTTCATTCGAATATACATCTGCTTCATTAAATGTAAAACCTGACTTCTTTGCAGAGACGACTTTAAAATCTATTGAGTTTGTTTCAAAATTATATGCTATGGTAACTTCTGAAGGTAATGGATGTCCTTCCGCAGTAAGTTGTTCTCTCACTACCGTTTGAAGCTTTGTATTAAAAACTTTCATGTCATCTCCTGTGTCTAGGTTCACATACACAGCAACAGGAAAACTATCTTGCTTCTTTGTTTCATCATTATACCTCAAAACATTAAAGTTCTTCAATAATATTGTTCTTCCTGCTGGAATACTTCGAACTTGTCTGATTTCAATAGCTTTCTCACCTCCTACATACTCTACCCAGTGTCTTGGATATTCATAAGTATACTGACTTTCTTGAATTTTGGTAGGTTTCATCATAACGTGTTCATAGTATATCTTTATACTCTTGTCAGTTAGACTCGGTGCTATGTTCTGAATATTTCTGACTTGCATTTTTAACGGAGATAAAATGAAGCATTTAATACATGATGTAGATGAAGACATGAATGAAACTACAGACAAACTTAACTCTTCTCTTTTCTTCCTTTCAGCAAAGATTATGAGTTCTGTTCAAATGGTGTGTATTTCTATTGTGGAAAGATGGGTTCAGGTAAGACATTTAACCTCATTCGTCATATACTCATAACAGAACGTTTAGGAAATGACTCATATTATGACCAAATCATTATATCAGCAACTTCAGACTCTATGGACTCAACAGCGAAAACATTTATGTCAAAAGTTCAAGCCTCTGTCGTTAAAGTTCCAGACAGTGAACTCATTGAATTTCTTCAACGTTACATTCGACGTAAGAGGAAATATTATGCCATCGTTGAATTTATACAGTCAGGAATGCAAAAGACCTCTGAGGAGATGGAAAGAATTATTGACAAACACCACTTACGTCAGTACTCAGGAGTTTACGATATGAAACGACTTACAAACTACATTCTATCAAAACTTTCAAAATACCCCTTCAAAAAATATCCTTCAAACACTCTGCTCGTTTGCGACGACTTCGCCGGAAAAGGTTTAGTGTCAAAACCAGACTCACCATTAGCTAACATCATAACTAAAGTCAGACATTACCATTTAACTGTAGCAATACTTATGCAAACATGGAGGTTTTTAGCTTTAAACATAAAACGTCTCATAACTGACTTCGTTATCTTTCAAGGTTTCTCACGTTATGATATTGAACTCATTTGGAAACAGTCAGGTATAACATTACCTTTTGAAGAAATTTGGGAAGCATATAAGTTCTCTCATCTCTCCTCGTTCATACCTTGAGATTCATATCATGACTAATACCATTAAAGTCAAAAATATTCCATGGGAACGACCAACATTGTTTTAAAGTTTAACCTTCAATTGACTGATGGTAAACAAATTCCATGCATCTCTGTCGCCATTTCTGTTAATATTTTTGCTGTCATTCATATCATTCACTTCTCCATCCGTTAGCTTTTGAGGATATGTGTTAATAGCTGTTCTTAAATGAAGGCTTCTCTCCCTTGAGAGCATAAACTCTATAACTTTCTGCATACTTTATGTTTGAACCTCCTGAGCCATCATTGACATAAATTTTTATAGGCTTCCACCCTTTGTTTATGTTCCTGCTTCTTCCCTTAGCTCTTTTGTTCAGTAGTTCTACATCTTTATACACAGCACCTGTCTCAGTGAATTCAACAATATTTTCATTCGTTAGCTTTACATTCAAACCCTTGTCGAGTATATTGTTCATTTCATACATATAAAAGGTTTTTATTCTATATGAAATGAGAAGCAAATCCATCTTAGCTGGTGCCGTTAATGTTCCAATTGAACCAACATCAAATGTTGACTCACGAACGACAAACAATATTGTCATAAAGAACTATAGTTCAGAGTGTTTGAAAGAAAAAGAACCAGAACTTAAGTCGGTGAATTTAAACTCAGCTTCAAACGCTAATGCTACATCAGATGTTAAGTTAGAGTATCCACCACTGGACCAAATTCTTTCAAGAGAAGCCAACGACAACCCTTACACAAATGTTCAAACAAATCCTTCAGATAACGTAGACCATTACCTTCTTCAGTTATATCAAACTATCTTACTCAAAGACGATAAGAAGCTTTTGACAAATCTTATAAGCAAGAACCAAATAATTCTAACAAAGGAGGACCTTGAAAATGTTATATCACGAATAACAGGAAAGCAATGTGTCATTGACTATCTCGACCCTGAAATCGAATGCTGTGGTCAAACGCCAATATTCATGAAAATAGGTAACATCCGCATCATTGAAACACCAGGAACTACAGGAGTTGAGTTTAAGTATAGATATTCGAACGAGTATACAAAACTATCTACTGACTATAAGCTTTGTTTGAAATATGTTTTAGTAAATTAAAGCAGTCAGGACCTTCGGTCTTGGCGCTTTGCGCCGTCAGTCAAAAAAATTTCAAGTTAGCAATTTGTAATATCTATCCAAAACTTCTTCAACAGTATCGAACTCATCTTCATAATGCAAACCTAATCTTATTGACTTGGTGCAGTTTTCACTAACACAATATTTTTCTGTTCTCTTGACTGACATAACTAACTCATTTGTTTCATCAAACAGCAACAACCAAAGTTCATGACCTAATACATAACATTCATACTTTATATTTTTAGCTCTGAGTTCTCTTGTAAGCCGTCGCATTTAATATTTTCTAAAAAGTCAACTTCAACAGTCATTCGCACTGGTGCCTTCAGTTCTACAGGCTCTCCTTGAAAGTCAACAAGTCTGAATTGCATGTCTTTCAAATTATGAGGACTAATGCGAACCCATTTACCTAAATGAGTTGCTATGACAGGAACGTTTGGAATGAACATTGAATTTACTTCATAACAGAAAGACTTATATTCTACTGAACCTTTACTATTAACTCCTGAAATACCTGTGACATTAGCTATTTTGACTCAATGTACAAACAGTTGCCATAACATACATATGGAACAGATTTCATCTCAATCGTTTTGTCAACACTTTTCAAAGGAAATGTCATATGGTATGCTCCCAGAAGCAATTGAACTCTATGACTCATTCTTGGTATCTTAAACTCTTTCTCGCTGCTGAACTTCAATGTTCCCTCAGAAGAGAGTTCGACATCTATGTTGTCAATAGTTTCTTCATTTATGAGAGTATCTCTGACTCCAGCAATTTTATCTATTCTGTACTCGGCTCTGTTAGGAAATGTTACAACACTTCTTTTGTCATCTATTTCAATCTCTATGAAATCTGTTTCATCTGTTATGACAAAAGTTGCGATAGTATTGAAGTCAACAACTCTGAAAGCAAGTGCTTCATTCTGAAGTCCTAAGTTTGTTTGTAGCTTTACTGTCCCGTATTCGTTTGGGTCTGTACTTTGTAAATAGAACAACATTTTATTCTCATTAAAATATGACTATTGCTGCATATGCGTATGAAACAAATGAAGCAAGAAGAGCACATGAACTAGTAAATGAAAACTCAACTTTAACCATTGAAGGCAATGATTTAGTCATTGACGATGGAAAAACTAAAAAAGTCATTGATTTCGATACTTTTAACACTTATGACCCATTCATTACAACAAGCAAGGTTCCTATCATAAATGATGGAACGGTGCAATATATAAATTCTACAGTAGATGCCTCATTAGTGAAAGTATTAAATGTTCTCATTGAATTGTTAAAGAGCTTTAGATTTGACGACAACATTAAATGCCTAAAGAATTTAGTCATGAATGAGAAACAAATTCTCGGCGTTGCTGGTAGCAGTAATGATGTACACCTTATGACATTAGAATATTATAACGAACATAAAGATGAACTGAAAGGAGAGAAGGGTGACACTGGACCTCAAGGACCACAAGGAATACAAGGAATACAAGGACCTCAAGGCGAAAATGGTTTGGATGGTGAAGATGGAAAGGATGGAAAAACTGCTAAATCATGGATATGGAACCTTATAAATACTGGTTTAACAGCTGCTTCATATGGAGTTCTTCAATACCAAATCGGAAAGATATGGGCAGTACTTGGTGAAGAAGCTTTAGATGACGTTAAAATGCTTTGAACTTCATTTCAAATGGTTCGGATACTATTAAAACTTTATCTGGTTGGATGCAAGAAACAAGGAGTCAAATAGATACTGTAAGACGTATAGCAAACAATGCACGTACGGGATTGGATACTTTACGAGAAGCACAAAATACACTAAAGGAAGCAAATGATATTCTTGTCTCAGTATCAGACATGCATGAAGATTGGCTTAAAGGTATTGACAAATCTTTAAAAAATCACAGTCAGTCTATTGCTGACTACAAGAAAAGTATAGATTTTTTACATAGTGCTATGGACGTACATGATGGAAGTATAAAGAACTTACTTAATGCTAACAATAACTTACCAGGAACTATTAAAGCATTTATAAAGTCCTTTGTAAAACCTGGTGCTCTAACATTTAGGTCTTTGAGAGCAAGAGCATTGAAGTCAAGAGATGCAGAAACTCCAACAGAACCTACAGAAGGAACTGAAACAACAGAAACTCCAGAAGAACCACCAAAACCAACAGCTAATGAAATATTGTTCGAATATTTTCCAAGATACTCTGTCCTCATTGCATACATTCAAGAAATACTTAAGAAAGCAGACTTGACTTTAGGAGATGATGAAAGTTCTGTATATCTTTCGTTCCAGTTTCAAATAGCAGAACTTTTGAGACAGATATGCTTAATGTATGACAACATCTCTGATTTCACAAGATATGATGACGACCATGACCCCGAACACGGTGAAGAAGAAGTTTTACAAACATCCATTAAGACAGGAAAGGTTTTAACACAAAGTCTCATTATTGACACCGAAGATGGTGAAGTGGATGTTCTTCAAGAGCTGAAGAAAAATACTTCTGAAGGAGGTGGTGGTAGGCATGAACTTGAAATAAATGAGATAGAAGAGAAATTAGCCGAAAAAGCAGCTAAAAACCATGTTCATTATATAAGTTCAGACGAACAAATTATAACGGACTACCACGGATATTTAATACAGGATGAACAAATAAGCACTGAAGATGTTAATGAAAGAAGATATAAATTCATTCATGCTGAAGGTTATGACATACGTTGTACTGTACAGTATGACACAGGTAAAGCACCAGAAGCATTTGGTTATAACAATGAAATATATGCTTCGTATTTCTTTGTTAACGGTGTATTAGTTGAACCAAGATTTACATTGAGAGTTAAGGCAAAAATAACTTTTGAAGATGCTATTAAAAGTAAAGCTGACAAAGATGAACTTGACGCAACGAACAAAGTTTTGAAATCTCATAAACATAATATCTCCGATATAAATGAACTTCAAGCTACATTAAATAGTAAAGCTGACAAAAATCATACACATGAATCCTTCACTACTGTTAGAGCAGACGACATAATATTGAACTATACCCTTGGTTCAAGTGCACCTTTAGAGAATCCAAGTACAAGCGTAAAAGATACACTAAACTCCTTAAATAACAAATGTATAAATATCGAAGGTCATGTCAGAAACTTTGAAACATATGAACTACCAGCAATGTTAGATAAAAAAGCAGATAAAGAACATACACATAACTCCTTCTCAACTGTTGCTATAGAAAGTATTGAAGGAACGGTTGGCGGAACTGGTGGGGATGCATTATACTATAAACATCCTAACTTTCCACAAGGTTTAACATCGAATGAAAACATAACAACGAAGAAAGACATTAGCTGTAAAAATGTTTATGTCATGGATGATGAAAATAATGTTAAATTCACTGCTCAAGATTTATATGATAAGAAAGTTGACAAAACAGAGCTTCAAACATTAAAGACTGAAATACTTCAAACATTATATCCTGTTGGTTCTTTATATACATCAATGAACTCAACAAATCCAGCAAGTGTTTTAGGTTTTGGTACTTGGCAGCAGATTGTAGATAAATTCTTATACTGTGCTAACTCTTCAAAGCAAACAGGAGGCTCAAAGAAAATTAAAGAAGCAAACTTACCTGCGCACACTCATACAGGAACTACAAACTTTTCTGGCGACCATAGCCACTCATTAAGAGACCACCCATTATACAACTCAGACTATAAAGCTGGCAATGATGTTTTATCTCCATCTTATAACAATTCAGCAAAAAAGACTTTTCGACCAACTGAACCAGGAGGAAATCATGTCCATACTTTCACAACAAATCCAACAGGCTCTGGTGAAGATTATATGCCACCATTTATGACTGTATTCGCATGGTACCGTACAGCTTAAAATCTTTATTTTTACATAAATGAGCTTGAAAGTGTTATATACGAAAACGATAAAAACAGTTTGACAGAAAAGTGACAACTTTACGTGTCAAAAATATAAAAAGTGATATTTTATTCATCATTATCTTCTTCATAATTTATTTCATATTCTTCGTCTTACCAACAAAAGATGGGAATGTGAACAATTGCGGGCAATTTTTAGCCATTTTGGCTTGGAACTAGAGCCTGCGAGGTACATGGATAGTATCAGTACCTCACAGGCTCTAGTTCTCTATATGGCGCCGAGAAATTTTGGTGAAATGTGGTCGCATTTCACCAAAATTTTTTCGGCGCCATAGGATGAATTGGAGGGTGAGAGATATTATTTCATACAATACTACTCTCACCCTCCAATTCCCAGCCAAAATGGCTAAAAATTGCCCGCAATGTGAACAATTGCGGGCAATTTTTAGCCATTTTGGCTTGGAACTAGAGCCTGCGAGGTACATGGATAGTATCAGTACCTCACAGGCTCTAGTTCTCTATATGGCGCCGAGAAATTTTGGTGAAATGTGGTCGCATTTCACCAAAATTTTTTCGGCGCCATAGGATGAATTGGAGGGTGAGAGATATTATTTCATACAATACTACCCTCACCCTCCAATTCCCAGCCAAAATGGCTAAAAATTGCCCGCAATGTGAACAATTGCGGGCAATTTTTAGCCATTTTGGCTTGGAACTAGAGCCTGCGAGGTACATGGATAGTATCAGTACCTCACAGGCTCTAGTTCTCTATATGGCGCCGAGAAATTTTGGTGAAATGTGGTCGCATTTCACCAAAATTTTTTCGGCGCCATAGGATGAATTGGAGGGTGAGAGATATTATTTCATACAATACTACTCTCACCCTCCAATTCCCAGCCAAAATGGCTAAAAATTGCCCGCAATGTGAACAATTGCGGGCAATTTTTAGCCATTTTGGCTTGGAACTAGAGCCTGCGAGGTACATGGATAGTATCAGTACCTCACAGGCTCTAGTTCTCTATATGGCGCCGAGAAATTTTGGTGAAATGTGGTCGCATTTCACCAAAATTTTTTCGGCGCCATAGGATGAATTGGAGGGTGAGAGATATTATTTCATACAATACTACTCTCACCCTCCAATTCCCAGCCAAAATGGCTAAAAATTGCCCGCAATGTGAACAATTGCGGGCAATTTTTAGCCATTTTGGCTTGGAACTAGAGCCTGCGAGGTACATGGATAGTATCAGTACCTCACAGGCTCTAGTTCTCTATATGGCGCCGAGAAATTTTGGTGAAATGTGGTCGCATTTCACCAAATTTTTTCGGCGCCATAGGATGAATTGGAGGGTGAGAGATATTATTTCATACAATACTACCCTCACCCTCCAATTCCCAGCCAAAATGGCTAAAAATTGCCCGCAATGTGAACAATTGCGGGCAATTTTTAGCCATTTTGGCTTGAACTAGAGCCTGCGAGGTACATGGATAGTATCAGTACCTCACAGGCTCTAGTTCTCTATATGGCGCCGAGAAATTTTGGTGAAATGTGGTCGCATTTCACCAAAATTTTTCGGCGCCATAGGATGAATTGGAGGGTGAGAGATATTATTTCATACAATACTACTCTCACCCTCCAATTCCCAGCCAAAATGGCTAAAAATTGCCCGCAATGTGAACAATTGCGGGCAATTTTTAGCCATTTTGGCTTGGAACTAGAGCCTGCGAGGTACATGGATAGTATCAGTACCTCACAGGCTCTAGTTCTCTATATGGCGCCGAGAAATTTTGGTGAAATGTGGTCGCATTTCACCAAAATTTTTTCGGCGCCATAGGATGAATTGGAGGGTGAGAGATATTATTTCATACAATACTACCCTCACCCTCCAATTCCCAGCCAAAATGGCTAAAAATTGCCCGCAATGTGAACAATTGCGGGCAATTTTTAGCCATTTTGGCTTGGAACTAGAGCCTGCGAGGTACATGGATAGTATCAGTACCTCACAGGCTCTAGTTCTCTATATGGCGCCGAGAAATTTTGGTGAAATGTGGTCGCATTTCACCAAAATTTTTTCGGCGCCATAGGATGAATTGGAGGGTGAGAGATATTATTTCATACAATACTACTCTCACCCTCAATTTTAATTACTTAAACTCATTCTATTTTTTTGACATGTAAATGTCACTTTTACTGAGATCTGACACAATGTCAGATCTCTTTTTTTCGTATATAAGAAAAGAAGTATTCGAACAACATCCATGGAGGTCATTTAAGAAGTTCAATGAAGCAGCAAAAAGTTGGGATTTACTAACAGAGCTGAAGTGAAAAGGTTCTTTGACAAAAATGTTGTACATCAAACAAAAATAAACCCTTACGACTACTTTTTACCAATTTACTCCAACACTCCTGACGCATACCAATTTGACACTCTCATTCAAAGCAGAAAGGAGGACATAAACCATTCCTCATCATCATAAATGTTAACACTCGTAAAGCATATGCATATCCAATGAAAAATAAAGGAACTCGTGAAGTGTTAAGAGTTTTACAAAAGTTTGTAGCAGAACATAACCCAAGTACTTTAACATCAGACCAAGACGGTGCATACCTCAGCAATGAAATCACAGATTTTCTCATTAAGCATAACATAACTCACTACACTACTGAAGACCGTAACCATAACATACTCGGCATTATAAACCGCTTCATAAGGACTCTCAGAGATTTAAATCAAGAGCGAGACTTTACTGAAGAAACAATGAAACATTTTCTCGAAGTATATAATTCCTCAACGCATTCTACAACAGGACATACACCAAATTCAATGACACAACAACAAGAAGAAAAGTATATACAAAAGAAACGAAGTCAAACACAAAATATCAGAAATTCAACACAATTTACTCTCATTCCTGGAACAAAAGTTCGTGTAGTTCTTGACGACAAACCGTTGACAAAGAAACGTTTAAGGTTAAGTCGAAATTATTATATCGTAGACTCTACGCAAGGTAATGGATATCTTATAAAAGCTGCTGACGACTCTATTGCGTTTTACCCTCGTCATAAATTAGTTGAAAGTAGTAATGGCAAACTTGCTGAAACCATTGACGAAGCAAAGCGAGGAGTGGTTATTGAAATACTTGGCTACAACATAAACGATGACACTTATAAAGTAAGATATGAAGGAGGCGTTGAAGATGTTATACCATCTAAGAACTTGAGAGAGTCGAAGCCAACACATCTGGGGCCATTAGAGTGGAGTACTGGAAAGATAAAAATAAGCCAGAAAGAATAAGAAAATTCTTCTAAACTTTTTCATTAGATGTAAATCAGACATGAACGAGAACAGTCATGATATCATTAATGGTACCATTTATTTTAACATTAAGACGCAAAGCGGCGGGCATAGCCCATGAACAAAAATAATGTTTAGGGTAGATGGTTAGATCTAACCTCATTTCTACCCTCATTTCTACCCTCACGAATTTTCATGAATTTCCTTAAGATAGAAAAAATAAAGTTAGTTTTATTTTTATTTATTTTTTTATTTTGTATGTAAGAACAGAAATGTCAGTCGAAGCAAAAACATTCACTAACAAATATAATGGCGAAACATTCACAAAAGGCACTTATAACGGTATTGAAGTCTTACGTAGAGACAAGGATGGTTACATTAATGCAACAAAGATGTGTCAGCAGTTTAGGAAAGACTTTAGAAAGTTGTTGGAAAATAAGTCCTGGGAAGAGTATTATAAGGCATTTTGTGAAGAATATAGCAACAGTCTGAATTCCGGCGGTTGCTTTTTATACAAAATTCATGCAGGAATTCCTGATGAAATCAAACAGGTTAGAGGAACGTATGTAGACCCAAGACTTATAAACTATATAGCAATGTGGGCTTCTCCAAAATATTGCATAGCAGTTGGAAAAATTATGGACTCCATAGACAAGAAAGTTCATGAGAAGTTAGATGAAGAAGAACTCGAAGATACAGTAGAGAATGCAAAACATTTGTTTGAAGAAGAAGTTAGAAAAATGCATGAAAAACAATTAGAACATGAACGTGAGATATGTTATGGTTATAGAGATTCTCCATACGAACTAGACCAATGGGAACAAGAAGATTTAAAGAGAGAATTTAGAGAATATGAACTCGCTAAGATAGCATTAGAAGCTGCAGAAAAGAAGTTAAAAGTTTGGGGTCGTTTTGTACAAAAATATTGTGAGTAAATGAACCATTTATTTTTATTGAATTCACCAAAAATAATGTTTAGGGTAGATGGTTAGATCTAACCTCATTTCTACCCTCATTTCTACCCTCACGAATTTTCATGAATTTCCTTAAGATAGAAAAAATAAAGTTAGTTTTATTTTTATTTATTTTTTTATTTTGTATGTAAGAACAGAAATGTCAGTCGAAGCAAAAACATTCACTAACAAATATAATGGCGAAACATTCACAAAAGGCACTTATAACGGTATTGAAGTCTTACGTAGAGACAAGGATGGTTACATTAATGCAACAAAGATGTGTCAGCAGTTTAGGAAAGACTTTAGAAAGTTGTTGGAAAATAAGTCCTGGGAAGAGTATTATAAGGCATTTTGTGAAGAATATAGCAACAGTCTGAATTCCGGCGGTTGCTTTTTATACAAAATTCATGCAGGAATTCCTGATGAAATCAAACAGGTTAGAGGAACGTATGTAGACCCAAGACTTATAAACTATATAGCAATGTGGGCTTCTCCAAAATATTGCATAGCAGTTGGAAAAATTATGGACTCCATAGACAAGAAAGTTCATGAGAAGTTAGATGAAGAAGAACTCGAAGATACAGTAGAGAATGCAAAACATTTGTTTGAAGAAGAAGTTAGAAAAATGCATGAAAAACAATTAGAACATGAACGTGAGATATGTTATGGTTATAGAGATTCTCCATACGAACTAGACCAATGGGAACAAGAAGATTTAAAGAGAGAATTTAGAGAATATGAACTCGCTAAGATAGCATTAGAAGCTGCAGAAAAGAAGTTAAAAGTTTGGGGTCGTTTTGTACAAAAATATTGTGAGTAAATGAACCATTTATTTTTATTGAATTCACCAAAAATAATGTTTAGGGTAGATGGTTAGATCTAACCTCATTTCTACCCTCATTTCTACCCTCTTGAATTTTCATGAATTTCCTTAAGACAAAAAAATAAAGTTAGTTTTATTTTTATTTATTTTTTTTATTTTGTATAAAAGATATGATTTCAACAATCGGCACAACACAACAATTCAAACAACAACAGCACCAAACTCGTTAGTCATGAATCCAACATCTATGTTAGTAGAGATGAAAAACTTCATTCCTTCTTCATATAGTTTTGGAACAGAAATACAAAGAATAAAGCAAGAACTTTTAACAAGTAATTTCGACTGTACCGCACAGGATGAAGAAAATGAAGAATATCTTTATGAAATGCAGGACATTATTGACCATTTAACCAAATTGCCTGAAATCCAGCAACAAAAGCTCACTATTCCTGAATTCGATGAAATAGAAGTGAAACCAACTGACTCAGTAGAAATAAAGAAGTTCATACGAAAGGTAAATTATGAGTTTCTAGGATATCATTGCAACCATAAAGTTATGGACAAAGATTGCGACATGGTATATAAGAACATCTCTGACATATATAAATCGGGGGAGTTTAAGACATACGACAACTTTGTTTCATTAGTTGCAAAATGTGTATGGCAGATAAGAGATAAAGACAGAAGAGGTAAGGTATGGCATGAACAGATAAAACCAACTGCTTCAGATTTAAAGAAAACCATTGACGCCTTAGTTGTTTTAGCAGGTAAGGTTTCAGAATATAACGCAAAAATGAATCCGCAATGTTCTAAATGTAAAGCAGCAATGAGGAAATATAACTATTCAGTAAAAGAGATAGAAAGAATGAGAAACGACTATGCAGATTTAAAGAGGGAGGCAGAGAAGCCGGTAGAAGATAAAATGGACATGTTAGCATTTCTGAACAAAAACTATCCAACTGCTGACGATTTCCTTCTATCTGATGTCAAGAAGAAGTATAAAGAAACTTTCGGCATTGTTAAAATTTTTGATATCCTCATCGAAGAAATAGAAGCTACAAAACTGTTTAGAATCTCACGAATTCATAACGTTTACCATGTAAAACGGTTATAAATAATGAGGGTAGAAATGAGGTTATATATCGGGTTAGATCTAACCATCTACCCTAAACATTATTTTTGGTGTAAATTTCATTAACTGACTGACTGACGGCACAAAGTGGCTTAACGAAAACATTAATATATAAAATTCATGAAAATTCATGAAAATTCATGAGGGTAGAAATGAGGGTAGATATCGGGTTAGATCTAACCTTCTACCCTAAAATATATTTTTATTGAATTCAGCACAAAAATAATGAATTTCCTTAAGACAGAAAAAATAAAGTTAGTTTTTATTTTTTTCGAATTTTTTATTTTGTATGTAAAGACAGTAATGTCAACATCAGAGAACACAACAACAGTTATAGTCCATGAAGTCATAAATGAAGAATACGAGTACATACAGTATAACAAACAGTTACGTCTCATTCGTTCAGTCAAAGATGACATGTACCAAATGCAAAATATAATGAATGCTCTTCGTTCTACAAAGCAAGCATACCATTGGTTTGAAAACCAACAGACAAAAGAACTTTTAGAAGAATTTCCTCATATGATTGCTTCCCTCGGAAAACCGGGGGAAGAGGTTCCGTATGAAAATCGCAAGAATTTGGCTCCTGGTTTGAAAGGTTATTATGTTCATAGACTTTTAGTAAATGCTGTAGCAATGTGGGCTTCACCTCGTTATGCTTGTTATATTTTCATGATGTTAGATGAACTATATAAAGCAGAACGTGGAGAGATGGAAAAGAAACTTCATGCAAAAGATGAAGTCATTGAATCCAAAGACAAAAGCATACAGAAAAGAATACCGCGTTCAGTACCAAAAGGAAAGGAAAAGAGTTATAAGTATATGATATATACTGAAGAGTTGGAAAATGAAGAAGATAAAGATATGGTTATGTTACATTTAGTGAGAAGAAACAACAAGAGCTTTTACGACCTCGCTAAAATATATAAATCTGACAGAAACTGGTTCTATCGTGAAAACTTACCGATTTCAATGACACCGAATGAGCAAATAAAGGAAATTGTCAAAAATACTCTTCCTCAAACACACTATGATATTAAAGGTTGTACAATACTTACATTCAAAGAAGACTTAACATTACTGAAGGAAAAAATAACAGAATATTTCGATAACTTCAAAGAGGAAGAATAAAAAAATCTAAGCTAATTTTATTTTTTTTATAAAATTTTATCTCATATGAAAGAACATGAATTTAGAATATTCGGAACTCATGACAGAAGAAGAGAACGAACAACATGTAAAAGATTATGCAAAATTTCTGAAGACATACAAAGCATTTAAACAATATCTAAATGCTTCTAAAGATTATGCAAAATTTCTGAAGGTATATAAAGCGTATGAAAAAGCGTATGAAAAGTTTATACATTGGGGAATTGTTGTAAAATATCGATATGAAGACTAACCAAAAATATATTTTTGCTCAAATAACGTCAGGGTCAATTTCTTCAACCATTTCACTTCCTTCGTCAATGTCAATAGAAGCTTCTTCAACCTTTGGTAAGAACTTTTGTATAACATCTTTGTTCGTTATTGTCTTCAGAGATGAAGGATAATATTTCACATTTGTTTCACCCTTCTTATATTCTTTCTGTTCGGAAAGATTTAAAGCAATACTGAAGAAGTCAATGTTAGAGTTCTTTATGACAGTATAATGAGTATCTTTGACATTCACGAAGAAACTCTTTTGTTTCAAAACTACTGCTAACTCTTGTGAAGTATAACGTTTGCGGTCAATGACGATAGCTAATGGTCTGACATACTGACCGAACTTAGATTCTTTCACAAACTTCTTATTAAAGATAACATTAACATTTGAAGCACCATTGAACTCATTCTTGATGGCAGTAGCGAGAGCATTGTATGAAAAGAACTTGCAATCTTGCATGTGTTTCATTAAAATAAAAATATTAAATTATTTTGAAAAATAACTTTAAAAAAAATCTAATCTAATTTTTTCAAAAAATATTTTTTTTATTTCCTACTAAAGATGTATCGGAAGTTGTCTAAGTTAGAACACTCGGAAATAAAACAACTTCTTACAGAAGCTAACATAGATGTTGCAAAGCATTACGCAACAAACAAAAAAGCACTCGCTGACTTCATTAAAGACTATAATGGTGCAATAAGTTATGATAGAATTCATGAGTTCATAAAGCCGCAACGCGGCGAGGACGAAGTCCATGCAAGAGCATTTCCTTTAAATGACGTTGCTATTGACTTATATCATAGACGTTCAGTACCTCATGAAGTTAGAAGAGAAATGTATGACATAACAAATGCAAACGTTGGTAAAACACGAAAGAGAGACGACACACTGAAACAACAGAGAAGAGAGATGTTTAAAAGTGCTATAGAACAAGTTCGCAAAGCTAACGATGTCATTCGTTCCATTGACGACAAACCAAAAGAAGGTGAGAGATGGTTAAAGAAAGATGAAGAGAATAGGAAGAGAAATGTGAAGTCAGGCAATAGACTCATTGACTTTAACATCGAAGCTTTAGATGAACCAAACAGAGACTACTTACACAAACATTTCGGTAAGGTTTTCATGAGACTCTTAGAGAAAATTAAAATAAACTCACAACAGAGATGGATGGTATGTTATAAACTTGGTGGAAAGTATGAATGTTCTACGTTAAACCTCAATAATATTGGAACATTACTACATCAGCTCTTGAAGGAGAACTTTATATCAGAGATAGAAGCAAATGCTGCAGGTATTGTTGAAATGCACTATGACTTCTTCTTGACAAACATAAAGAATCTTACTGAAATAAAGATGTATGATTTAACAGAATATGAAGGCTTAACGATGTCAGATGTAAAGAAAGGCAAACCAAAAAAGAGACCATATAGAGATGAAAGCACACTGACAAATGACCAGAAAGCCATTTTGGAAGCTCTTAAGCAAACAGGAAACCCAGCACTTATAGAAAGCTTTTGGAAAGATAATGGTGAAAAGAAGTTTTATAAGAAGAGAAGCGGTCAGTTCTGGAAGTATCTTTGCACATTACCTATAAATCTTGAACGCTACCAAATCTTCAATGAACTTGAACAAAAGAACTGCAACACTTATGACAGAAGACAATTGTTTCGTTTATGCTTGCATTCAGGCTGGAGTAGATGAGAGACTAGACCACATGAGAGAAGTCATTCGTGTTAGAGACTTTCCTCAAAGTAAAGTACAAGAAATTTCTGATGCAACAGGTATAGCATTTAATGTTACCATTGGTTACTTCAATGACTCAAGACATAATGAAATAAAGAGATACATACCAAAAGAATGTAAAACTATTCGAACTATTGACTTACTTCTTGTTGAAGACCACTACATGCTAAACGAAAGATTACCAATGACAACATATTTCGTCAGAAATTACAAAGAAATCTTGAAGGAGTGTGGTGGAATGAACATTGAGAAACAGATGAAGATTTATACAAGAGAGAGTAAATATGTAGTTCGTTATGATAGAACAACACCGTTATGGATGTTATGAAAACATTGTGGGAGTGCAAATATTTCGAACCTATTTCTTATGGAGAACTTTTCACATATACGACTGACTTATATAAACAGAACCTTGCACCATTTAAAGATTTGACATATGCTCCAAAGTATTGTGTACAACTGAAGAAGAAAGCCGAGTCAAAAGAAGTAAATAAAAATAAGTGCAAGTTCATTCCTGAGCACGTTTTCTTTGCTGACTTTGAGTGTAGCACAGACGGCTTTCATAAAGCTTTTAACATCTGTTATGACAGTGAAGATGGTTCAGTGAGTGAAAGCATTTGGGGTCAGAACTGTGCAACAGAATTTTTGGAACGACTTCCTGACAAGAGTTTAATATATTTCCATAACCTCAGTTATGATATAAACTTCATCTTAAGACACATGACAGAAGTGAAAGGAACTCCCATCATTAAAGGTTCACGAACAATGCAAATAACTGGCTTATATAAAGGAAGGGCAATTATTATAAAAGACTCTTACAGTGTTATAAATAAGAAGCTTAAACTATTTCCTGCTATGTTTAACTTACAAACAGGACCGAAAGAAGTATTTCCATACAACTACTACAGCAGTGTTTTGTTAGCAAATGACAACAGAACTGGTGTCATTTTGAAGCATGTAAGTTTATCCGGGATGCGGATATGTTCATGAAAAACATAGATTCCATCAAAGGTTGCAGAATAGATGAAAACCACTTCGACTTAGAAAAGTATAGCACATTTTATTGCAAACAAGATGTAAGAATTTTAAGAGAAGGTTTTGTTAAGTTCCGCAATGACATATTGAAAGAATTTGATTTAAACGTTTATGACTACGTTAGTATTTGTTCAATTGCTAACAAATTATTTGAGAACAGAGTGTACTTCCCGAATGGAAATTTATATGACCTCTCAAATAAACCAAGAGAGTTTATTTCGAGATGCATTCAAGGTGGAAGATGTATGTTGTCAGATAACATTAAACAAAAAGAGTAAAGAGAAACTCATTGCTGATTTCGACGCTGTTTCATTATATCCACAGCTATAGCAAGACTTTATACTTTAGAAGGTATTCCAAAGGTTATGAAGAAAGAAATGTTAAGCACAGAGTATCTCATGAGACATTTATTCGATGACGACCAAAAGGAACCCATTGGTGAAAAGTTTATGTCTGGCTTCTTTGTTCTCATTAAGATAAAAGAGATTGGCATACATAGACACTTTCCTTTAATAGTTTGTGACCCTGAACTAAATCCAGAACTTAACGTTCCCAGAAGTTCAAACACTTGCTGTTTAATGTATGTTGACCATATAACATTACAAGACCTCATAAAATATCAAGGTGTCAAATGTGAAGTGTTGCAAGGATACTATTACGATGGAAACAGAGATATTAGAATAAGAGATGAAGTAAAGAAGTTGTTTGAGTTAAGGTTAAAGTATAAGAAAGAAGGAAATCCTTTGCAAGAAAATATAAAGCTCATTCTGAACAGTATTTATGGCAAAACTATTCTATCTCCTATTGAGTCAAAAATAACCATAGTAATGACAAAGATGCTATAAGATATGCCATCAGAAACTACAACCATATAGTGAAGTTCGAAGGTTTGGATGGTTCAGATAAAACTATTTTCAAGCTAACGAAAAGCATTTGCAGACACTTTAACTTCTGTCCACTTGGTGTTAATATTCTATCTATGTCAAAACGTATTATGAATGAAGTATTCTGTACTGCAGAAGATATGGGACTTCAAATCTTCTACCAGGACTGTGATAGCATGCATATTTTCAATGAAGACATACCAAAGCTTGCAGCAGAGTTTAAGAAGAGATACGGTCGCGAACTTATAGGAAAGAACCTTGGTCAATTTCATTCTGACTTCGCAGAAATAACACCTGGAAAACAAAGTTTAGCATACAAGTCAATATTTTGTGGAAAGAAGACCTACATAGACTTACTCACTAACGATTTAAATGAAGTTGTATTCCATGCACGTTGCAAAGGTGTCAAACAAGACGTCCTTGCTTTAACAGCAAATGAAATGTTTCCTGAAGCTATACAATGCTATTACAATGAAGATAAGAACATTCACATACCTGTTGGAACATATGACAAAGACTCTGAGTTCAGTTTAATGAAACTTTACAAAGCACTTTATGACGGTCAAGAGATTGGATTTGACTTATGTAAGTCTGCTACACCTGCATTTGAGGAAAAGTTTAACTTCTCAATAACGACTAAAACAAGCTTTATTCGTAAGTTGAAGTTCTGAGGTCATTTATTTTTGTCAGCAATGAGGTCATTCGTGATAAAAATAATGAGGTCATATATTTTTGTCATTTATGTATAACCATTGTCTCTCTTAAACTTTGCAATAGACAGCTTTGTTCTTCTTCCTTCTACATCTGTAATGTTTATATAATCTTTGTTATACTGTCTTAAGACATTCATTCGTCTGTATTGAGTTCCCATGAAATAGCCATTTGAACCAGAAATATTTCTCATGTTTTCTCTTCTTGTCGTCCATCTTAAGTTCGAGATATGAAAGTCTCCTCTGTCTCTGTTTATATGGTCTACTTCACGAAGTCCTTCAGGGTTCGGAATGAAAGTTTCTGCAACTATTCTATGTTTCATCAGCTTGTGTTTGTTTAAATTTACACAAATATAACCATCTCCTTGGTCAAACTCACTAACAACTCTTTTATTGCTTATACGTCTAATTGGATAAGGGTACTCTGAAAAGATTTCATAGTCATTGTCATGTTCGAGTGTTTGCCAATGTCCTTCACCTTCCATGCCTTTCACTCAAATAAAATTTTCAGAAAAAAATAAAATTAGCGTAGATTTTACAATACAGCTATTGTAGAATTTAAGAGTTGTGCTTCAATGTAGAGACAGTCCTTATGGTCTGGAGGTAAGAACACTGGGCAGTTATGGTCATGAGTGGAGAACATGTCTATCCAAAACTCACGATTGAAGCCAGTTAATTTATAGTATTTAGGGTTAGGAAGTGGTGAAGTTCTTGTATGACCAATGAACTCATTTTCAACTCCCTTACTTAAGTTTGAATATAATATAGCTTGCTTTCTATCCCAAATGCCAGGTGTTACAATCTTTGAAAATTCATTTTTCCTCGGAAGCATTGCATCATAATTGAAAACATTCTTGAAATCATCACTTGGTTCAGAGATTTGAAATCTTATACGTAATGGATTTTCTTTCTCTTTAGCGACTTCATTGAATGGTGAGAATACAACAAACTGACAGTCATGTGTTCCATCTTCATTTTCATTAAATTCATAATGAAAGTCTATAAGTTGTGGCTGACTACCTTCTTCTTTCAGTTGTGCAAGAAACTCACGTAAAGGCTGTAAAGTTTGTACTTCAATGTTGAACTTTTTCTCGAACATCTCATTAAATGAAATCATACATTGTTGCAATGTTGTATCGTCTTTAAAGTATTTGTATATGTGAATGTTTTGGGCGCTTAAAGACTGTTCGTCATTTTCTATCTCGACTTGAAGTATAAAGTCAACCTTTCTGAAAGCACGTGTTATATACATATTTGTTATGCCAATGTACTTCTCTTCATTTATGTTCACAATCCAGTCTGTTGGAAACTTAAACGTTACTCTGTTCCCCTTTATTTTGACGTCAGGGTTTTCACTACTGAACGCAACAGATAAAGGTATTTGTCTATACATTTAATTCGGATAAAAATAAACCATTTACTCTTTCTTTGCTTCAGCTTCTTTAGCTTTTGCTTCAGCTTCTTCTCTAGCTTTCTTCGCCAGCAAACGTGGGTTCTTCTGTCTTCCAGCAGCTAATGCAGCAAGTTGTTTTTCACTAAGTTTTCTCTTTGGTCTCTCTGGCTTTTGTTCTTGTTTTTGTTCCTTCAGTTCGGATAAAATTTGCTCACGAATTTCTTTCTTCAATGCTTCAACATCTATGACCCCTTGGGTCTTGTCCGTAGGGCTTGTCTGAGTCATTTGACTGCAGATAAAAAACAAAATTAAAACTTTAACCGATGTAAAATGAGCTTGTCAAAATCAGAGCGAGAGTCTATTATATTAAATGACGCAAGAGGAATACAACATCCTTTCTATTACGTAAGTCAGAGTAAAGATGGTAAAATATACGTAAGAAAAAGAAAGGTTCCATTAGCGAATGCAGAGAGCGACAACATTAAGGTGTATGGCAAGGGTGAAGTCCACGAAGCCCATATAAAACCTTCTGTTCAAACTGAAAAGTCAATAGAACCAGAAGAAAAGAAGCCAGATGTACTTTCAATAACGAACCAAGAGCTTATTGCAAAGTTCGTGAATTTCATTGAAAAACAAACCGAGTCAAAGAATCCTGACCCGCCAGTGAAAGAAGTTGAGACAAAAGAGAATGTACAGTTCATTGAAAATGTCAAGAAACAACTTCCACCACGAATGCCAAGAAGAAGAGTGAGAATAATGAAGTAAATAGATATTTTTATCTGAAGTAAATACATGCAGAACGAACAGCTAAACGAATTTACTCCAGCAGAGCATATTCATCAGATTCGCTCATATTTCGATATCATAGACAATGCAGTTCAAATTGGTGACACTAATAGAAAATATTCTGACGCAAAGATTCCATCACAACCTGGAACTGCTAAAGATAACACATGGGTAACATTCAATCTCTCACCTCCTGGTGAAAATATGTTGGACCTTTACAATACATTCATTACGTATAAAATGGAAGGTCAATTTATTGTAGATAAAGAAATTGGTTCAGGTTCCAATAAAACAAACCCACCAGGATTTTGGATTGGTTTCGATGACGCTTTCTATGCAGTTGCTGGATATCAAATCCTTGCAAATGGTCGTATCGTATATTCTCAAGACAACGCAAGAGAAGAAGCATATATAACTTCAAACTCACAAACTACCGAACAAATAAAGAAAGTAGATGTTTTCTCAAAGACTCGACATGAAGATGTATGGAGTCATTCGGGAACATGCAGAACAGGACAAATTGTTAGTGGTCCAATTACAGCAGGAAAATCATTTGATTTTAAGCTTCGTTTAAGAATTCCTGTTAGAAGATTCCTTCCATTAGAAGCTATTCGATTTATTCAGCTTTTGCAGGAAACATTCAGCTTAAAGTAAAGTTCAGTAGCGACGCCTTACAATGCACATCTATATCTGTAAATGATATCATGCTTTCAATCCAACTCTTAAAGTTGCATTTGCTCCAGATTCAAATCCACCGACAAATAAATTTGTTCCATGGAATGAACCATTCACTATGATAACGAAGGCAGTAGAAGCTAGTGGAACAGTTACTATTACAACTGTAACCCAGCAACTATTTCGAACAAAGATGGATTTTAATGAATGTTTTATTCATCCAAAGTCATTCTCTTTAGACCCTAACATTTATACAGAACTTGTAGAACATTATACAAACGAGGCTTTATGTTTTCCTGTTAAAGTTATGGATTGGATTCCTATGGACGGTTCATTCTCAAAGAATACAGATAGTTCAAGTGCAACATTTACAGCAGCTTATACGCCTATTAATGTTAAAAGTATTTGGGCACTATTTAGAAAGAAAGACAACTATTATGTTAATTTTGAGAACCCTAAGTTTAAATATCTTCAGCTTTCCATGGGAGCTTATGGAAATATGCCTGCAGAACCTGAAAAATCATATGGACCTGTATTTTATGAAATGGTTGCGAACGCTTGCAATACAAACAATGATATGATAGGATTTAATGAAGATGTTATGAGGTCATTGGTGGATGATGGTAGTGTGGAACATAAATGGGATAGCTATGACAACACACATTTCTTATGTGGTTTTCCAACAGAAGTGGACTTTTGCTTCATGCAGGGTCAAACATCTACTGCTCCAATAACATACAAATTGTCTGTTAAAGGACATATTGAACTAGCAACTGAAAATGTACCAAAGCCACTTATTGGATTTATGAGGGATTGTTGCTTTGCCATTCAGGTGCGTGCTAATGGAATCCCAATAATAAGATTAGATGACTATAACTTAGCTGCGGACGACAGTGAGGAATAAAGGATGAACGTTTATTTTTAAAGCTTATAAATGAGTTCTTCATCAATCTCTCGTGACCCTTCACCATCTGTGAAACAAACTTTACCAAACGATTATGGAGCACCTATTGAATATTTCTTACAAGCTGCACAATGGCAAAGAGCAGTCTCACCAAGGTTAGGTGTTCCACCAGCTCCTGTCAAAAATAGCATTTGGTCAAGTCCTTATATAAAATATGGTCTCCCACTAGGTTTGCTAGCTACAGCAGGAGCAGTTATGATGTTGAAAAGAAATAAAGCAAATGTTGTAAATAATACTGAAGTAGCTGAAGTTAAACAAACTCCGACACCTTCGCCAAAACCAACATCAAAACCAACACCTTCACAAACAACACCTTCAATGACTCCTGAACCTATGAAAGTACAAACTCCTGTTCAAAAGTCAACTCCAAAACCGACTCCAACATTTAAACCAGAACCTACTCCTCAAATAAATCGTAAAACTCCTGCGTTTCCTTACTGAAAAAATAACGTTATTTTTATTTAATATTAAAATTTTTATTTGATTGAAATGACAAATAAAGTCACTGAAGCAATGAAACAAAAGTTTTTGGTAGAATACATTAAATCAGGAGCGTTCCAGAAGGTTTTTACATTCATACTATGAAGGATGATAGAGTTCAGTTTAGAAAGATAAAGCAACCATTAGATAAAGAAGGAATTTTGAGAAAGATTAAACTTCATGAAGACAACATTGCTGAACTTAAGAAAAAGCTAGAAGAGTTGGAGAAAGGAAGAGAGTTGTAAAGCAATGAATTCAACAGGGTAGAAATGAGGTTAGAAATCGGGTTAGATATACCCATCTACCCTAAATTTATTTTTGTGCTATGTTTTCATACGTGTGAGGGTGGTGATATCATTTATTTTTTATTTTATTTTTATATAAATGACGAAAACTATTGAGATAACAAACTACAACGGTCATGAGTTCAAGAACTTGTTCTTCGTTCCTCGTGAAAATACATTCTATCAGATACGAGGGAGAAAGGGTAAAGTTAGTTTGAGCGTTTACGACAACAAACATAATGGGAGATATATAAAAGCAATAGATACAGACGGTAAGCGTGTTTCATTAGCTTTGTCAAAACTTACTAACATTTATTTTGACAGTGACTTTGACTCTGACGATTGGAGTGACAGCAGCGATAGTGAAGAATATGAACTGTTGTGTGAAGCAAAGCAATGGGAAGAGTTGCAATACTTTTGTAAATGAGAACGTTTATCTTTTACAGTAGTAAAGTCGTTAGTGAAAACGTTAGTGAGGTGAAGTGGTTGGTGGCTTTGTAAATATTTAAGGTTAAGTTAGTTTTTGCGTTCGTGTTGTAAAATATACGTTAGCGGTTTTGTAAAGTATCAAATTCACAAGTATTGGGTAAGGTGGAACGCAGTGCCTCCGTACCCAAGATATGTATACTAACTAAAAATACTAAATTCTAAAAAAATTCAATTTATTCAAAACGTATACTAAGTGATCACTTCATTAGTAGGATCAGCAATCCTACTAAATGGTGAGAACGCCACTAACTAAAAAGGGAGTCCTTGGAGCTCTTGATCTCTTGTCAGTAGAGTTCATAATGAGGCATGGCATCTACTGATTAGAAATCAGAGCAATCCTACCTTACCTTCAGGAGCTACAAAGCTCCTAATCGTTACAAGAGGGAGCCTTGGAGCTCCTGAAGCTCATCAGCA